ATTCGAGGTTTTTTCTGATTCCATATAAAATGCAGTATTATTTTTTCAAGATCTTTAAAATATGACAGCGGAGCTTTAATGGGGATTGCATTGAAATTATATATTGCTTTGGGTAGTATGGACATTTTAACAATGTTGATTCTTCCCAGCCATGAGCATGGTATGTTTTTCCATTTGTGGCTTCGTTCTTTCTGATCTTCCATACAAATCTAACTATTATTTAAAATCCAATTTGGATAATTCAAATTAGTCTGTCTCCTTTTTTGTGCCCTTTAACCACTCTGGGCTGAACCACGAATTCTTTGTGTACCCCCATTTTTATCTCATTGGGATCCTTTAGAATTTTGTTATCAGATTTATCAAGGATGACAACAGTAGCTAACACATGTCGAGTGCTTACTATGTGCTGGGAGCATATGAGCTTTATATTCAATTCCTATAGGAAATTTGGGTGCTATTACTTCCCTCCTTTGACAGGAAGGAGAGCCTTCTCAACAGGAAGATAAAAAATCCGCCTAAGGTCCCCCAACTAGTAAGTGTTAATCAGATTCAAACTCAGGCATTATAGCTCCAGGGTCTTAACTGTGCATTATACAGTTTCTCAAGATGTCTTATTTTACTAAGAATTATTGGTTTTAACCTGAATAAAGTCTATACTGTAAATCTTACAGAGTTCATAGTTGGACTCCATAGTGTTATGGACGTTTTCATTTATAGTTAGGATTTTTGTAAATATATTTATTTAGCATCCTGGCTCTTTTCCATTATTTTATCACTAACCACTTTTCTATTGATTTCATCGAAAATGAACAATTGTTTATGATGAACTTATAGATTCTGCATCTGTATGACTGAAAAAAAAACCCAGACTTTCCTGTATTAAATTTTCAAATAAATATTTTGATTTGCCATTGTAATTTCTTAGTAAAATATCTAAAATTTTCTAGATTTTGGCTTGAAGCAGCTTTTACCTTTTATTTTCCTTGTGGACTAATACAGAGATGACCTATATCTACTATAGGTTTTCTATGAAATGATTTCATATTTGTCCTCCTGACTTCCTTCTGTGATTCCTTCCTTCTTATCTTCATATTATCTCCCTTCTTCCATATACCTCTTATGTAAAAATTTTTTTTTTTGCATTTTTTGACTGGAGTCAGGTTTGAACCCACTACCTCTGGTATGTGGGGCTGGTGCCCTACTCCTTTGAGCCACAGGCACCATCCTTTTTTTAAATTAGATCATAATTGTGTACATTAATTCTATCATAGGATACAGTGTGTTGTAAGACTAGAAATAAACGTGAGATTGTATAAAGTTTTAAAGTAAACTGTTATAGCTTTCTGTGATTATTTGTGCTTACTAGCAAGTAGCATAATTAAAGCTGTTCCCTTCTACCTGGTGGGTGGACCTCACAGCCCAAGAGTGCTGCCGTGTGTTCTGTAACTCTTGAGCCTGTCCTACCCTGATAATCATATAGCCAAGTCATCATTTATATAAAGAGAGGAAAGCAGTTGCACCCGTGGGCAATTAACTTTTTTATTAATAAGCTGTTAGACAATTAAGGGGAGCCTAGATGGTCTCTTGAGTGTGGTATTGTGCTCAGTTCTGGGTAAATAACCTTGTTTCTATGCTGACTTGTTTTCTGTTGTCAGGGTGCCCATTCCGTCACAGCGACCCAGAGCTGCTGAAGCAGAAGTTGCAGTCATACAAGGTCTCTCCCGAGAGGATAAGCCAGGTGGGTCCGGCTCTGCTCTGCATCCTGAGCGGGAGGTGTGGGCAGAGCCTCCAGCGTCACTCAGGTGATGCCCTGTCTTCCTGTGAGGTCGCACACCAGAAATTCTGTCTTCAAGGGGAAGGTAGAGTGGACTTTTCTGGTTTAGACTCTGTGGAAATTCTAGTTGTGTCTGCTAGGCTTCATTTTTATTTTAATAATAAAGGAGGCTGAAACCCTTCTCTCTCCCTGTCAATTTGTTTTACCATCTAAATTGAAGGCCACATTTTTAAAAGATAAATTTTTAGAACAACGCACTGAAGCTTATTAATGAAGCTGAAAATTAATGATAGCATGTTTTATCTTGGGAAATTGTTTTCCGAGCAGATGATGATGTAGTGCACACTGGCTGAGTGCGCGTCAGTTGTTGCTGTGTTTAGTCTACACTTTGGATGGTGGTTCATTAGGTCTAATAGTTTGTCAAAAAACTTTGTCTTTTGCACAGTTTAAATAGGAAAAGAATGCTCAAATTGTAAAGCCAAATATGTAAGAGTACATCGTTAGTAGGACTATGTTTGCCACAAAATGAGTACTATGACATTGCAGCGACTGTTAGCTACAATGTGCTTTAAGGTTGACTGGGATTCGGATGGAAGGAGGGGGAGCTCCTGCTTCTTTGGCTTATGGATACTGTATATTTTAGAGCTGGAACATCTATCATTCATCCTTAAAAAGTATTGTTACTTAAAGAAAATTACTACTCTAGGAAATGCTACTGCTTCTTCTGGGTCCAAAGTTCAGATTGTGTTTAGTTAATTTAATTCAGATCTTACATTCTTTTTCAGTACTTTGAGCAAGGCAGTGCTCAGGGTACCTGGGGTGTGCAAGAAAGATTCAGATATACATCCTGCTCCCACAGTGCCGAAGTCTAGAGGAAAACATAAGCCAGGTGTTAGGAGAGGTACACATACAGTGTGTTGGGTCTTTGATGAGGGGGACACTATAACCTTCTGGGGAGGCCAAGGAACATGTTCTGGAAGAGATGCTCTCTAAATTAGGCCTTGAGGGAAGGGTGGGAATTAGGAAGAGTGAATGCACTAATAAGAGGTAGAAGATATGTAGGACAATTAGGATTCACGCTTAGGATAATAGCGCCACCTGTAGTTCTTTGTACCTTCAAGGAATCCCAAACAGTAAAAAATAAAATAAATAAATAATAAATAAACACCTAAAAAAAAAAAAAACACCACAGGCAACTTCCCAACTTAAGGGAAGTAGTTGGTTTCAGAGATTTGGTTTTAGTGATTAGGAACTGCCACTAACAAATTTGATAGGAACTCTAGAAGAAAAGAATTAGAAGTTTTTTTTTTGCAATTATAAAGGATCACCTTTTTTTAAAAACTGGGCTATTAACATATTATATCTGTGTTTAAATGACAGTGATATGGATTTGGGGCCTTAGAGGAGTTTGGATTAGAACTCTGATGTTCTTTCCAGCTAGAATTGTAGAACCAGGAGATTGGAAAGAATATTAGAAAGCTATTCTTTTCTCCACAACCATGCCAGCATCTGTGATTTGGGGATTTTGTGATATGGGCTAATGGAAGAAGCCCAAGTGCCCATTGATTCACGAATGGATCAATAAATTGTGGTATATGTACACCACGGAATACTGTGCAGCCATAAAGAAAGATGGAGACTTTACCTCCTTCATGTTTATATGGATGGAGCTGGAAAATATTCTTAGCAAAGTATCTCAAGAACAGAAGAAAAAGTGTCCAATGTACTCAGCCCTACTATGAAACTAATTTATAACTTTCATAGGAAAGCTATAACCCAATTTTAGCCCAGGAATATGGGGAGAGGGAGAGGGAGAGGAGGTGAGGGGAGGGGGGAGGGTGATTGGTGGGATCATACCTATTATTCATCTTATAAGGGTACATGTGAATCTCTCTAAATGTAGAATATAAATGTCTTAACACAGTAACTAAGAAAAAGACATGAAGGCTATGTTAACCAGTTGGATTAAAGTACTTCAAATTGTATATAGAATCAGTACACTATACCCCATTATAGTATTAATGTACACAGCTATGATTTAACAAAAAAAAAAAAAAAAAGCCATTCTTTTTTATGGTGTCCTTAGCTAGTAAGTTAGTGGTAAAACCAAAAATTGAGGTCAAGTTTTACAAAACTTATGATGTTTTTTCTCAGCCCTGCTCTACTTAAGACCTGATTATCCTGCGTTTGCTGGAGGATTGAGGAAGTAGGGAGTCAAAACCCATGTTTCAGAATGAAATCTTGGCTAAAGATTTTGGCAGGCATTAACAGGAGGTGGAATCAGTGGAGACTGAACAGAAATGGGAGGAGAGGGAGGAAATACATTAGGGAAATGACGTATCACAAAAGTCAAGGAGGAAATTTTGAAAACAGGGCAAGGTCCATAGAGTCCTTTGTAGCAGAGAAATTGTTTAAGATAAGGACTGAGGCAAGGTTACTGACATGCTGAGTGGATTACTCAACTTTAGTGAGAGGAGTCAGTTTATGGTAGAAACCAAAAGCAAGATTATACTTAAAACATGAAGGAATAAGAGACAATGAGTAACCTTTCAAAAATGTACTAGTAAAGGGGATGTTAGAATTGTATTAGCTGAAGCACTGTGGGATTGTTTATTTCTGGGTTTAAGACTAAAGGAGACCTGAGCCTGTCTGTAGGAAGAGAAGAGGAAAAGAACCCATCGGAGGCTTGACGAAGACAGAAAATAAAGAGCACTTCTGTCCAGCAGAGCAGAGTTAAACCCTCTTTCCCTTACACCACGACTGTGTTGTACCTGCCTTTGCTCTAACACTTCCTGCACTAGATTGTAATTATTTGCTTACTTGTCCCTCTTCCCCTGGGATAAAGACACCTACACTGAGTTTTACCTTACTGATGTGTGAATGATGTTGTTCTTGAGTTTCATTCCATATTTTAATGCACGTTTGGTCTGTAAGATCTAGTGTGTGAGTTTCTTGAAAGGGAGAGCATTTAACTTTCTGTCTCATTGTAATCTAGTGACTTAGACTTGGTAGGTGCTTAAAAAATGTTGGAAGAATGAGTGGGTATGGGTTGGATCCTAGAATATGCAAGGGGCGTGCAGAGAGAGGCAAATAGGAACTCAGAGACATAAGTGAAAAAGTAACTTATTGAAGGATGGTGGGTGTATACTTGGGACAACAGGATGGCGACAGAGACAGGCAGGTCCCTCAGCCAATACGGGATATAGTGAAGAAGTTTGAGACAGAGCAAAGAGAATTTGAGGAGTGTATCAAGTCTAACTCTTCCTTATAAAGAGGTCTCGTTGTGAGCCGTCAGTAAAGGGCTTGGGAATGGTGTTTTGGATGTACAAACGGTTAATAGCTGCCAGCAACGAATTTAATAGGGAGTCAAGAAAGAGAGAATGTGAGGCTTTTTTAGCAGTCATGAAAATTCAGTTTTTTAAAAAGGCTATGAACATGCATGTATCATATGACCATTATCTTGAAAAGATGGCTGTTATGGCAGTGACTGTGTTTCTATGCTCCTTGCTTCCCACTCCACTATATTCCTCCATTCACCCTCCATCCATATGTGTGTCCTTTCCTCAGCTGAAGCCACTTAGTAATTTCTACTTCATCCTTTGGATCTACACTGTAACCTTTTGTCTGAGACGAAAACAGATGTATAGTGCATGTGGGCAAGCTGTAAATGATATTTTGCTTTTATTTGATGTATTTATTGAGTGGATCTCAGCAGACTGAAACAGCTGGTGGACTGTATTCTAAAGGGCAGAGAGCTGATGAATGAAAAATCCATGTAAAACATTTTGATAAAGTTGCATTTTGCAGCTTGGCCTAGGGGCAAATTAGATCTTGAAAACGCCAAATGGAAATTAAAATATTGAATGAAAGTCAAGAACAACATCATTCAAATATGAGTAAGGTAAAACTCAACATAGCTACGTTTATCCCAGGGGAAATCTACTTGAGAAAGTTACCTTCAAGTATAGAAAATAGATGTTTTAAATAACTGGAATTTTGATGATCAGAAAAGAGACTTTGTGACTTAGCTGGCATTACCTCATGTTTTTTTTAAAGCATACTTACTGGATCACATTTCACTTTTTTAATTAGCCTTAATAGGTTATAAAAATTAATAAGCTTGATGTACCTAGTTTAAGAAGACAGCAAATGAACAACAGAATATGGCCAAAGAAAATGGGCAGTCCGGCATTTATAATCCTCTCCTCTTCCAAAAGATGAAAACGTGGCATTCAAGGCACCTACAAGACAGAAAAATTCCAAATGTTTATACCCCAACAACATAACTTCAAAATACATAAACCAATAACAGAGAGCTGAAGGAAAAACTAGATAAAGCCACAGTTATATTTGGAAGGTGAATATGTAAATTACCTTTTATGTTGCTACCAAAATGCTACTATCACATGTAATGAGTAGGTGGTAGATACAAAGTCAAAATACAAAAATTGTTATATTTCTCACAATGAACAATTGAGAATTAAATATTTTTTTAAAGTATCGTATATAGTAGTACTAAAAAGATACAAAATATTTGTAAGATCTTTGTGCTCAAACACTAATAAAAAGAATCAAAGTCAGAGGCACATACTAATTGAATTGAACATTTACTATAAAGCTATTGTATTTAAGACAGTGTGGTATTGGAGAAATGATAAAAGATAGAGATCGATTAGAATGAAGAGCTCAGCAATAATCAATATACAGTATATGGCAACCAAGTTTTAAACAAAGACAGCTGGAGAATTCAAAAAGGAAATGATAGTCTAGAGTTCTACAACAATGCTGTTGTGTTCTAAAACAAGTGGTTCTAGAAAAATTGGGTGACCATATATACAAAGACCTAGATATGTACCTCACATCTTATATAAAAACTACATCCAAATGGATCATAGACCTAACTATAAAATGTAAAACTTCCAAAACAAAACAGAATCTCTGCACGACCTTTGGTTTGGCACATT